GTATGGCTGGCAGGGGGGTGGGGGAGGAGGAGGAGGTGAGAACTAGTGCAGGAAGATCAGGCAGGCCCGGTGTTCGGTGGAAGTTGCTTTTAGGAGAGCTGGGGAATCAGACAAGAGTTTTCCAGCAGGGAGCAGTGGGGTGTAATTTAAGGTTGTTGTGTTTTGTTGAGATTACACAATTAGCTCTTAGTCTCTCAGTTTCCAGCCCAGAGTGCTATCAAACTCCCCGCACACATCCATGTGTTCACTGAGTAAACGAGGCTAGAGCTGGAACTTGGCAGGGTTTCCTAGTTATCCCTGGAGGCTCCTGGAACTTGGCAGGCAAGAGAGGGCCCATCCCTGGAAAAGGGGAGTCCCTGCCAGCCAGTGCCAGCTTTAGGCCCAAGCCACAGGCTACTTAATCGGCGCCATCTGCAGAATGGGTCAGCTGGAGATCTGGAGGGAGATGCCATGGCCCTCGGGGCAAGGGCCCTCTGTATCCTGGAGCCACTCTCTTGGCCTCAGTTTCTTTAGCTGCATATTGGGAGTCAAGGGGGGCAGCATCTTTGTTGTTCAATCAACAAATTTTGGAAGAATCTCTAGGAGGCAGGTGTGGCTGGAGCAGAGGGAGGGCGGGGAGCAAGGGGAGGGAGGCCAGTTTGTGACGGCAGCAGGTCCTGCATTGTGGACCACTAGAAGGACGCTAGCTTTTACCTTGAGGGAGCTGGGAGTCAAGGAATGTTCTGAGCAGAGAAAGGAGGGGCCCTGACTACAGTGTTCCTAGTCGCCCTCTGGCCGCTCTAGGGGGAACTGACCGGAGAAAATGAGGGTGGGGGGGAGGGGGGAAGGGAGGGGAATGGGGTTGCCTTGCTCCAGGTGGGGAGCAGGGACTGAATTAGGTGTGTGTGTGGGAGGGAAGGGGAGAGTGTCATAGAAAAATTGACGGACTCTGACTCTTTAAAAACATTTTTTTTCTTTTAATGGGCTAAAATTCCCAGAAAGTTTTCAAGGAAATTGGGGAGGGAGGAGGGGAAACATGATAGAAAGAAAGATAGATATGATAGAAAGATACAAAGAAAGAAAGATAGATGATAGGTAGGAGGGAGGGAGGAGAGAGAGGGAAGGCAGGGAGAGAGAAAGACAGACACAGATGGACAGACAGACAGACAAGAGAGAGCGAGCGAGAACGAACACAGCTCTCGGGTCTCTGGGACAAGGAACGTAACCTCTCCGTAACCAAGGTACCGGTGGCCTCGGCGCTTCAGCGGCTCCCGGGAGGCCGCCAGCTGCAGGCCGGGCCGCCAGGGAGGGCTCCTGGCCCGGAGCTTGGGGACCTCGGGCTTGGGGACCTCGGAGGGATCTCCGGAGGTCTCGCCTTCCCCAAGGGCAGAACCCGCAGTTGCGGAGCGCCACCTGCACCCCGAGAATCCTCACAGCGCCCCCGCCCCCCGCCAGGAGGCTGGTTCCCGTTTTGCAGGGCAAACAGACCGAGAGGCCACCGGGTGGGGACGGCCTGCCGTCCGCGGCGGAGCTGGGCTCCAAGGGCCTGGAGCAACGATTCCACACCAAGACCGAGGGCTGCTGTGCGCGCCGAGCGGCGCCCGCTGACTGCCGGCGTGTCCCCCACCCCCGGCGCGGGGCAAGCCCGCCAGCCAGCGGGACTTGAACCCAGATCGGTCCCCCATTCCGGTTGTCCCCAGGCCACGGGGAAGCCCCCACGCCCTTGACCACGGGACCCTCCCGCCCGAGGGGTGCGGAAACCCGAAACGGGGGACTCGGCCAGTTGTTGGTGCCGCTTGGTGGGC